TTTTTTTATTAGCTCTGTCTTAAATTCAACAAAGTCATGCACAACACTGAACACAGTTATCTCCATCAGGAAGTTACTATTCACAGTTTTTGATGATGGCATTTACAGCTTTTTCTATAATAAAGATGGTATGTTCAAAGAAGCAATCTTTCTAGACTTTCATAATGTTCTTCATCAGGGATCTCTTCCATAGTGCTAATAATCCTTTCCATAAAGTGCCATGTGTAATTAGCCTTAAAGGTCTTTATGACCTCCGGGTCTAAAGGCTAAATTAGAGACCTTGTGTTTGGAGACAAGTAGACCATTTTGACTACTCTAGTGTTGAAATATGAGGTTCTCAGTGATTAGGTACAGTGTCCAATATCAAAAGAACTTTGAAAGGCAATCCCTTATTGGCTGGCAAGGTATGCCATGATTTCAGATACAAAGCATCAATGGAACCAATCTAGCAAAAGGGTTCGTTTTGCCCAGGCCTTCTATTGTACAACCAAAAGATAAGTAGGTGGTATTTATTTCTTCCCTTCAAGCATCAAGAGTTAGTAGCTTTTTAGATAAGGATGGTCCTGATTAGAAACCCAACAACATTTATACACAACTGCAAAGTTACCCTTCCTGCCTTAAATCCTGGTGGTCCTCTCTCTTATTAATAAATGGTTTTTGTGACTTTTTTTTTTCAGAATAGGACATTTTTGTCTGCACCAAAAACTTGTTCAGTTCTTCCTATTCTTTCTTCTCAAGGATTTCCTTAATGGTGTCTGGGAATTTGCCTACTGCATCTTAATTGGCAAATATTGCTGCTTCTGCTAACACTTTTAAAAGCTAAACCTCAGCCGGGCTCGGTGGCTCAGCCTGTAATCCCGCGCCTTTGGGAGGCTGAGGTGAGTGGATTGCCTGAGCCCGCGGGTTCGAGACCTGCCTGGGCAGCAAGACCTCATCTCTGCAATAAAGCAAAAAATCAGCCGGGTGTGGTAGCGCATGCCTGTAATTCCGGCTACTTGGAAGGCTGAGGCAGAAGGATCGCCGGAGCCCAGCAGGTCGAGGCTGTGGTGGCCGGGAGCGGCCACTGCACTCCAGTCTGGGCAACAGAGTGAGACTCCAACTCAAAAAAAAAAAAAAAAAAGCTAAACCTCTTTTTTGAATTATCAAACCATCCTTGTCTGGCATAAAAATTTTACAGTTTTAGCTCCTTCACCTTCCTTTTGTTTTAAGCTTTAATATATCTTCACTTCTTAAATCATATTGAGTCTATAGTTAAGCCTTTCTTGTAATAATCATGTACCCACATAAAAGTTGCATTTTCAATACAACATAAAAAGGTATTTCACCAAATGTGCAAGGTTTCTGCACCTGAGTTGCAGTGATGGTTTCACAGATTTCCTTTTCTTCATTTACAATGGTTTTTACACTGGATTCATTTATCTTGAAATGGCGGCAACCACAGTTGCAGACCTCAATCTATATATCAAGCAATTCAACTTGTGCTTAAAATGTCATGACTTTTCTCTGCTTCTTGGGGCCCCTTCCAGTGTCACTAGTGGTACTTTGTATGGATCCCATGGTGTTACTCAAGGTTTATGATATTGCACTAAACATGATGAAAAATATATGATGAAAAAGACCAGTTATTACTGTGACACACCATTTAATAGAGACATAAGCTGCTTACGTGGAGATGATTGTTCCATACAGCATTTTAAGTGGATACTCACAACACTTGAGCTAACTACAATAGTAACAGCAAGTGGCTTTAAAATTATTATGATTTAATTTTGCATGCTTACATTTGTTACATGTCTCTTGACTTCAAGTGATGTCATGTATAGTCTGTATTTGAGTGCATAAGGGTTGATACTTTTTAACTTTGACAATAGATCTGTATATATTTTATGGTAGTAAATGATAAATAGACTAATATCAATATATATTTTAAGCATTCATGATATACCTATCTTTTTCTTAACTTTTCTATATTTTTATGCCACAGGGTTTGTACGTTTTGTTTTGTTTTGTTTTTCAAATTGTCACAAATCTCCAAAATACTTTCCAAAATTTTTGTAAAATAAAATTTCAGGACCCTCTAAATGTATTATGCCAATGAGGAAGTTAAGTCTTGGACACTAGGTCACCTAGCATGTTTGCAATATCCCCTTCTTTAATTATAGATTCACCCTTCTCATTGTTCTTGTTCTGTAAATGACTAGCAGAGACCAGAGACCAGACGTTCTCTCTGTCCAGTCACTGATTTTTGTTATAGGTTAACCTTTTTTATTGTCCTGTGCCTAACCCAGATAAGTTGTTACTAAAGAACCCATAACACCCACATCTTCAGGGTGGAATGTTAAATTTATCTTTTCTGAAAAGAAAAAAGACTGTCCTGACTAATTAGATTACTGTAACTATGCATTAAGCCCAAATAGAAAGATGTTGAAATTGCGTTATGTGTCCTTTAATTTTGTCTATATAAACAACCCCAAACTTCTACACTTTGGAATACTGACTTCCACTCTTTGGAATCTGTGCTTCTGGGTGGACATTCTCAAATTTTGAACTTGAATAAATTCTCTTTAAACTAGATTGTGACCCTTTTGCTTATTTTATGTTGACATGTTTATTAAAAAAAAAAATTCTCAAATAAGTCAACCAGCATAAATTATTCAAGGGGCAGCTGTTCAGAAAAAACACAGCATATAAAGGGTTCAGTACTTGCATGATTTCAGGTGTCCACCTGGGGACTTGAAATGTACTCCCTGCTGATAAGGGGGGACTACCAAACATGGGAGTTACCCAAGGAAAATGAGTGGATCTCAAAGAGGAGGCCTAAAATTCAGGCTTATTATATACTATCTTCAGCCAAAGACAAAAAAGAAAAGGGTTTAGAGAAGTAACTAAGAAAAGTAAAATAAATAAGAGTAAGGTTTGTTATGCAGATTTAAATTGGTAATTTAATCCTCCTTCTTTCCCTAGTACAGAGGGGGAAACATCCTTACACTTAGAGATTTTCTTTGAACATGTAAATTTCCCTTACAAAAGGGTAATTTGTACTCTGTTTTTAGAGCATGTCCTGTGTCTACTGTTTCTCAAAATAATTAGCTCAAAATAATACTTATGCTAAAGTGTCACATTTTAGGGTGGCATGTTCTCATGCACACTCAGGGTGGAATTCTCCCTTGTTTGATTCATAATGTCAAATCACAAGCACCCTGCAGTAGGGCTTGATTTTCAAAGGAGGCATCAATGCCATGTCACCTGGGTGTGTTCTCTGAGATGATCTTATGCATGCCCTGCTTGAAACATCAGGCGTGTCACCGATATACACATTAATTTCTCATTTTGGATCATGCAGTTATTGCAGATCTCCTTTTCCCCATTTCTCACTTTTTTTTCCATTTTCCATTTTTTTCCTGTTCACAGGTGCCCAGTCCTTGTGAAGCAGAGCCTCCCCCACTCCACAACCATTCCAAGACCACCAGAATATCAACTCTTGCACTTACACTCGGACTTATCCATTCCACTATGTAAAAATAGCTATGCTGCTTCAACATTTTAACTTATCCCTGGAAATTATTATTTTTTTCCAAAAGTTCATCTAATTTTCCCCCATCAAAGGGAAGGATTAAAAAGATTCAACCACAAGCAGCTATTCGCCATTGCTTTACTAAACTCTGATGAAGCCATGTACTCTTTGAGCTATGTTCACTGTCATGTTTTCTGAGATTTGATCCCCTCTCCTACCTTGGAGAGGTGAATCTCCTCTCCCTTATCTTCCTCTCTAATTTACTTTCTAAACAAATTATGTTTAATAATCTTAAAAAAAAGCTCATCTATGATTTCAAAAATTCATTAAATTTTATTTATTAATTTTAGGAGCAGGAATTGCCTGTATGTAGCTTTTGGCTTCCATCTGGCTGATCCTGAAACTCCCTGACACTGTGAAGGCCATAATAGCCTAGGACTGCTAGTACCTATTTTATTAATATATAGGAGGGAAATAAAATTCTACCCTGTAAAGTTATTGTAATTGTTTTGTGTCTTCTGTCACACATAGTCAAAAGTAATTCTATTACCTTTGACTGTTTAGATTGGAGAATAAAAGACTAAGAGAAATATATTTATACTTTCAAAATGACAAAAGGATTACCATTCTTGTCAAAGAAAAGCATTTTGAAATGAGTTGCAACATAAAAAGAAAGACTACCTTTACACTAAGGATATCATCAACATTGTAATATGTGGCATTAGCTCCTATAAGTCGCTGAATTACCTTGTAAATTCTTTCTACAGTTTAGAATTTGTTTACATCATCAGAAACATAATCAATCAAAATGTATTTTAAGAAAATTTTAAAAAGGGAAATGTGAGAGAGACAAGCATGTGCCATAATCATATATCTACACACTAGCCTAATTCATCACATGTCTCCAGGAACCTCCAGCTCCTCAGGAACAAAAAATTAAATACTATTATCATGGTCTTGACACCTTCTCCATCCATATTTTATGCTCAAGCTCAATATGAAAACCCTGTTTCCTAGTCCTTATTTTATTTTATTTTATTTTATTTTTGAGTTGGAGTCTCACTCTGTTGCCCAGGCTGGAGTGCAGTGGCCGCTCCCCACCACCGCAGCCTCAACCTGCTGAGCTCTGGTGATCCTTCTGCCTCAGTCTTCCGAGTAGCCAGAATTACAGGCGCGCGCTACCATGCCTGGCTAATTTTTTAATTTTATTGTAGAGATGAGGTCTCGCCTGCCCAGGCGGGTCTCGAATCCGCGGGCTCAGGCAATCCACTCACCTCAGCCTCCCAAAAGCGCGGGATTACAGGCTGAGCCACCGAGCCCGGCTCCTAGTCCTTATTTTAAATGCATTCTCCTCAAATTTTCTATCCCAATACTCCTCCTCTAGTGATGTCTTCTTGTAGTGATTTAGAGACTCCAATCTAAAACTCATCATAAACTAAATATGTACCTAGTGAGGCCATCTCCATGGAGACTTTCCTAAACAAACAAAACACTTTAATAACCTTAGATAGAGTCATTGCAATTACCTGGGCTTCCAGCTGTTGGTGAGTCATTCCTGCTGTCAGCCTGCAGAATGACAGCCAGTCCCACAGAGTCAGCCGGAAGGATGGAGCTGCTGAGGTCCACCCGAGTTAAGCTCTGAGGCTCCCTCCCAGAGCCTCCTGCGGTGTTTCTGGGCTTGTCCTCTCCAGCGGCATTCATGTCTTGACCTTTTCTCCATGGTCTCTGCACAATGTGAACGATGCTTTGCTGATCCAGGTCACAGTTCTGTTTAGGAGTGATGTGAAAACACAAGGAAAAGGCAATCATGAAATGCCAAATAGAGTTTAACTTGTCCTCAGTTCTAGAGTATGCAAAATATTTAAAATTCTGCACACAATTTCCACGTGGAATTGAAAGAAAAATGACAAGTGTCATTGCCAGGTGTGCCACAGCACTTACACATTCCACATGAATGACAGGCAATACTGTACTGGAGCCAGAAATGGAAATTTGGGAAGAAGTGAAACACAACAACAGAAAACTAACGCAATATTCAAAGGGACATGAAATCCAGTAGGGAAAAAATAATGACCACGCTGGATCCACAAGCACAGTGAGAAGCAATATTCTAAAATTTTAAAACTGATTTACTTCAGAAATGATGTATGTCCTTATACTTATCTCATTGAAATACTGTCATTCATTTTTGATTCATAAAAGCACAGAAAGTTAGTTCTTATCAATTACAGGCATTTTTCTGTAGAATTTTAAATACATATGCTTAAAGTAGTCTTCACACACCCCTCTACCATCATGAGCAAACACATTGCTACCCCAATGGGGCAGTGAGCCGACAGCAACTTCACACCACCCCAAGTCCATTCGGCTTTTCTGCCAATGTAATGATTAAAATTAGCAAAGATTTACAAAAATGCTTTGCATTCACATATTAACATTTGTGAGCAGGAGATTCTTTACAATTTAGTAGAATAAAAATTAGAAGCCAGATTATTTGCTAGGAGAAGAACTAAACAACCTTAAATCGAATCCTAGTTTCAGAATATCACTAGATAGAAGCAATTACTACTTACCTGCCTGCTGCCTACTTTGGATGGAGTGAGGACCTTATACATCTAGGTCTTCAAACTACTTCTTGCCATTCTCTCTCATTTTAGGAATGCTCAAAGAACACACCATGCAAAATGCAATGGTGCAAAATGCAATGGTGCAAAATGCAAAATAACAACAATCAGTTCTCTCCTCCTGGACTTCTTCCCCAATCTCTCCTGTTGCTGTTACCATCAAAGTCCTAAGAGCAGTGCCTGTCACTCACTGCACTCTAAATCCCACACCCAACTGCTTGACTGCTTGGTATCTGCCTCTACCATTCAGGAGGTCACCAGGATGCCCTTCCTCCTTAAGTCCCCATTGCTAGCTCTTCTACAGTCTCATGCCCGCCCTCTGTCACATCCACAGGTTTGCTCTGTGTGCAACCCCCATTCTCACAGTGCCCAAGCTCTCCCCAGGACTGCTCCTACTCACCAGTGACCACTGTTTATCCTTCTCTTACCCGAAGTCCTCCCCTACCTGACTTCCTTATATCTATCAAAGTACCCACCACCTTCACATTCCCCAGGCTTCCAGCCCTCTCCTCCCACCTAAACATCTGATGATCCTCCTAGGTTTTCTAACAGGCTTTAGTAGAGTCACAGCCTTGGATGTCTCCTCCCTACTCTGCAACATCCGACAGGGTGCCTAAAGTTACTAATTGTATCTCAGAAATATCCTGTATGTCTTCATCTCTTTTGTTTCTCAATAGTCACCTCCCCTTCTTAGGAATCGATCATATGATGGCTTTGTAATTACTCCCTTTACCTCTGGTTTCTCCCTATTCCAATCCATTCTATATAAGAATACAGGGTGTGTGCTATACATTCTTTCTGACGTGACTCACTATTACTTGCTAAATGGACTATAACATCTTACTACCTTCTTGAAATGTGTTTCTACTTTTCTCCTTTCTAGATCAACTCTGTCATGAACTTTATTTTCTTTATCTCGCCTTGGTTGCGTATGTGGTAGACTAGACTATTCTCAAAAATATTCACTCCCACGCATTAATAAGCATACACTGTGCTCCCTTCTCCCCCTTGATTTTGTGCTCAGCTCTGTAACTGGCTCTGACTGATGGGACATTATGTGATTAAACCAGGGCCTTAAAACATATTTGCCCACTGCTAAGGTCCATCAATAGAACATCCCTGAAAGCTTCCAGCTCTTCATTCCAGGTCCCAGAATCGCACACATGATATAGGCCTGAGGACCCACAGAGAGGACCAAATGCAGTCATGCCCACAGCATGAAGCAGTGTCTTTCAGGGAAGCCAGGCCGGGGCGGCAGCCCCTCAGTTGACCTAAAGACACATGAGAAAGACATGCTTTATATGGCACTGAGATGTTATTGTTGGCCCTTAAGCAATAACAGCAGATAGTCCTCTGTTTTCCATCCTACATGGACTGACTGATAGCCTATCATTGTCCATGACGATCCCTGTGTCAGCTATGCACCATCTCTAGCCAATTTCAAATAAACTGGCATCAGGATCTTAGTACACTCAAGGCTGGACCCAGGAGGATGTAAGCTGTGCCATAAGGAGACAGAGTTGAGAATTAGCACCTTAGCATGTCCTGAGATTTTTATATACATTGTGTTCTTTCCAAGAAGTTTCAAGAATTCAAGGAGTAAAAATTCCTCTGTTTACTTTCAGAACTTAGGTCCTTCATGTGATCTTCCTAGATAAAGCCATACCTTTTTCTTTCATCGGAATTCAAATATCTTTGCTTACTAGGCTCTTCTTATTATATTGGTTTGAGCTTGGACAGTATGTGGTGTGTGTGTGTGTGTGTGTGTGTGTGTGTGTGTGTGTGTGTGTGTGCGCGCGCGCGCATGTGTGTATGTGTATCTTCCAACGTAACTTAGAAATGCTTGAGAACAGCAGTTGGATCATGCTTATATTTGCATTTATCAGAATGCTTCACATAGCACTTTGAACCTAGTAAACATAGAAATATATATATAAATTGAAGATGTTGGCAAACATGAAAGACTGAAGGGAAGCAAGAATGAGTAAATGAATGAATGAATTACAAACAGTCAGGAACTCAGTGCCTAAAGCATTACAGGGGGAACCAGCAGAATGTCCAAGAAAGAACATGGAAATTAAAGTCAAATGGATTCGAGCTATACATAATTTATTAGCTGTACGGTTTTCGGCAAATTTTTTTGCTTCCAAAGCTTAAATTTTTATCATTGACAATAATATTATCAACCAGACTCCTATTCAAAATAATAATTCGTAGTTAGTGATATTGTTATCACCATTTATGGGTTTTCAAAAGGAAAAACAATGGGTACCTGAACTTGCACGTCAATAAGGCCTCAGAATTCTATTTAGCTGCTCCGCTCATACAATCCTATTTGGAAAATATACCAAGAAGGTAGAATAAGTGGAAGTTATCAATGTGACAATCCCTCTGGCAACGCTCCAGCTTTCTGTGAACTAAAAATTGATATAAAAAAAATATCCTACATGCTCAGATGCCATGGAATACATGAAGAATCTGAGTTAATTTTCAGGGACATTTAAATTGACAAATATGGAAGAAATCTAAAAGATAAGTATCCTCTCCTTTCCAATCCAGATTTTCCTAGTGCTCAGGGTGGAGCTGCAAAGCGAATAGAAAGATCCCAAACAGATTTCAGTAGTTAGAGTGATATTCATCGAACATATTTCCCTAAGTCTCCATCCATGGCTCTGAGATCATTAATCGCTTAATTCTTTGATTCTCTCACAGATAACACTGTTGATCTCGGAAGCAATCCCTTTGCCAGATGGTACACTCACACATCATGCCAGTTCAGTTTGAAGCCACATTAATAACACATTCCACAGACAATAACTGGATAAAGTCCAGCTATATAGCCACTCAAAGGCTCCAAATAATATTCAGTTCTCCCACTGTACAAAAAAATTCCTGATTTAGGAGGTAGAGATTTTTGTTGGAAAGACAACAGAGTGTTCCAATATGGCTTTAAGCTCCCTTGGGGCAAAAACAATGTCTTATTTATCTTTGTTTCCCAAATAACTAGAATATTGCCTGACAAGAGAAAGCACTTAATACAATGTTTTCTCTTTTTATAACAACTTATCCAACAAGCAAGACAGTGACATAAATTGTTTAGTGTAGACAAAACAAGTAGGTATTCCCGTAGCTGGGCTTGCTGTTATGCTGTCGATAACAGCTGGTGACCCACTGGGGAATGAGGAATCAGTATCTGGGGCTCTCTCTACAGTACCTTTGACATGAAGATATATCAGTATTCATAAAACATCTGTGGGAGGTGTTTTGTTTTGTGTTGGTTTTGATTTTGTCCAATAATGACCAACTCCAATCCACTGGGCATTATCCAACAAGATACAAAAAAATCGATGTCTTTCCTTTCTCCAATAAGAAGCCCCTTTGATGACATGTAATTAGGATCCAAATATTTGAGATTTTCCAAGCACTTAATAATGAGTTACACAGATCACCTCTAAAATTATTAATAATAAAATTCTAAATTGTGCATAATGTCACATTATTTTTGTTTGTTTTTTTTTTTTTTTGAGTTGGAGTCTCACTCTGTCACCCAGACTGGAGTGCAGTGGCCGCTCCCGGCCACCGCAGCCTCGACCTGTTGGGCTCCGGTGATCCTTCCTCCTCAACCTTCCAAGTAACCGGAATTACAGGCATGCGCTACCACGCCCGGCTGATTTTTTGATTTATTGTAGAGATGAGGTCTCGCTGCCCAGGCGGGTCTCGAACCCGCGGGCTCAGGCAATCCACTCACCTCAGCCTCCCAAAGGCGCGGGATTACAGGCTGAGCCACCGAGCCCGGCTTATAATGTCACATTATTAGTAAAATGTTTTCATGTGTTATAACAATAATTATATAAATAAAATAAATGTATAATATTTTTGAGCCCTATATTCCAGACAGTTGCGAGGTTTTTAGACATAGTAAGTTAATATTCCTATAGTTCTAAGAGAGAATAATTGCTATCATCTGCTATGATCTAAATGTATCCCCTTAAATTTAAGTGTTGAAACTTAATTGCCAATGTGGTAGTATCAAGAGGTGGATCTTTAGGAGGCGATCAAGTCACGAGGCAAAGCCTTCATGAATGGGATCAGTGCCCTTATAACGGCCATGCAGAGGTCAGCCTCCTCTTTCCTTTTTGTCTC